TATATAAATGTTAAATCACTGTGTTGTACACCTGAAACTAATGTAATACTGTGTGTCAACTACCCTTCAATAAAAAAAAAAAGATACAGAAAATAATTACCACAAAAAGAACACTGATAAAATAGACTTTATCAGAATTAAAAACTCTGTTCATCAAAAGATACTATCAGGAATTTGAACACACAAAACAGCATGGGAAAAATTATTTCCAAAACCTGTATCTGACAAAATGGCTTGTAGCCAGACACATTAAGAATTCTTATAACTCAATAATAAAAAGACAAAATAAATAAATAAAACAACGCAGGTAAAAATATGAACAGACATTCAACAAAGAAAGATATACAAATGACCCATGAGCACAAGCAAAACTGCTCAACACTATAAATCAGGAAGATGCAAATCAAAACCACAATGGAATCCTCACCAGAACAGAGTTAAAAAGACAAAGACGTGGAACAACTGGAACTCTTATGCTGTTGATGGAATGTAAAACGTATGACCACTACTTTGAGAAGAGGTCTGGCAGTTTCTCATAACACTAAATATACATCTACCCTCTGATCCAGCAATTACACTCCTAGGTATTAGCTTAAAAGAAATGAAAACATATGTCTACAAAAAGACCTTCTAAGAATGTTCATAGCAACTGATTCCTAAAAGTAAACACCTAAAAACTGAAAAACAAATGGATAAACTGTGGTATATTTACATAAACAATGCTTAAACTTAGGATGTTATCAGAATCTTGAAGCAGCAGCACAGTTTGAAAAAAATCTCTCCAGGTGATTATTCTACACCACACTCCACCCCACCCCAAAGATGTTCCCTGTTTCAAATAATCAACTTACAAATGAGCTTTTGGAACACAATCCATATGAAAACAGAGTCAGAAAAGGTTGACCACCTTTTCTTTTCTGAGATGTTCAGAGTGTCGGCATGGGGGGACAAGAGAGGGAAGGTACGGTTGTTTCACGCGTTTACTCCAGAACCAAAGGATCACGTTGAGAGAACTTGGATGTAACCGGCATGGTTTTCTTGGCAGCATATTAACCCTTCCAATTTCATTTGAAGAATGTTAACATTTGTTTGTAGTGGCTCAGTCCACCCAAATTGCTAATGCCCAAGGGCCCAAATTACGGTTAGAAGGTAGAATTTGTTACCATTACCTCTAGTTTACTGTCAGATAATCCAGAGCTGATTGTAACTATACATCATTGTGAGTCCACAAATGTAATTTGTTAGAAAAACATTTGCAATTAACAAAATTCTTAATACAATAAAGAAGACTGTTAAAACCTTGACCTTTTGTCCAAAATCACCTAAAATACTAAAATTTTAAATTAACAAGTCATGCTCATAAAAAGACAAGTATACCGTAGCTAATGACTAAAACATGATTAGCATCTACAGCAAGGGAAAATAAAATTAGTGAATCTGGACTCATAGTTTTTTTGGTAAAGGATATTAATAATTTTTCAAGTACTTGAAAATCTTGTGCCTTCATATACATTCTTGAAGAAACCTTATGACTTCATATGCCAGCATAGGAAACTGTAGAAAGTTTATGACATATAATTTAAACACTTTCTAATTTTAAGAGACGGCTTCAGTGAATATAGATGCTCTTAATTTGAATTACTAACGTGAGAGAAAATAGAGTCTAGAACCATGTTCTCTAGCTCTGTGCGCCCACCCGTCACCACCCCCTGGCCTTGCCAAACACAAATTTCACATCTCACTCACTGACCTAGACCATGAAGACATAGTGTTACCCACCTGTAAAACTATATTGTGCTTTTTCAAATTACCACCAATATCTTCTGCTTCAGAAGATTCTGCTATTCCTCTCCTTCCTCATGTCTGAGAGTTTTGATATAAATGGACAAAATTAAGTTTTAATGACCAAGTATGGCACCTTAATGTATTTGGCTCCCTATTTTCTAGACGAAAGAAATTTCTGTTTTGGAATGTGCAGGGCAGGGAAAGGCACCCAGATGGTGTTCTCAGCAGAAGCCCGTAGACGGCAGCTGGTCTGAGACAGCTGTGGCACTGCCGGCAGCTAAGCTCTGCCCTGACTGACTGCTCCCTGTGCTACCAGCAGTGGTGGAGAGGGACAGTGGGAAATGTCAACAGGGCTAAGGGGAACAGAATGGCCCAGAAGAAGGGCCCCCAGGGAGCCATGCCTCTTGATCACCTCCTTGCTGCACAAGGGTTCAGCTGTTGAAATCTGGGGGTGGGTTGGAGGAGACCTCCAGAAGCCAAGATCATCAGCTACTAGGAGTGCCCACCTCTATAGCTGATCCTCTTTAAAGCGAAAGGGGAAAGAAGTATGACAAAGAAGTATGACAAACAAAATACATCTTTTAACAGTCATACATCTGTTTTGAATATGAAGGGACCCTTGCTTATACTGCCAACAGCATGCTCGGTTATTATGGCTGGATATTTCTGATATTACAGACTCATATCTATGCCACTAAAGCTACAATTGCTCTAAAGCTCTAAAAAAGGGGAAGCAGTGATTTGAACAGACATTTTAATTTAAAAGCTAAGGCGTTGTTAAGAAAATGCATGATTAAGCTCTTCTGCATGCCAAGGTGTATATTTCACTGTGCTTCTCTCTCATCAACTATCACAACTGTCGACATTATTTTCTTGAATGCTCACACCTGACTTTTGTATTATTAGAATATTTTTTATGTTATTGTTGTAGGACTAAAAAATTCTTAGAAATTAGTCTAAATCATGAGAGATAATTCCCCACAATTTGTCTAATTTATTAGTTAGCCACAGAGAAAAAATAAAAATGATTCAGGGACCAGTTTTTTATTTTCAGGTAGAAACTTGGATTCCGCTCCATTAATTCCATTTATTTCTGCAAAACCAAGAAACCTTAGCAAAACACATTCATTGTGGTTATAATTCTATGCTTTGATATATGAGCAACAATCTCTAACATCAAATGTTATAAATAAGGTGTATCAAAAGAAAAATAAAATTGTAAAAAAAGCATTATTTAGTTTCAAGCTATAATTCTTAGCCCAGAAAAGAAATAAAGTATTTTAATATTGTGCCCAAATATATCTAGTGTCTACTAGAATTATCAGTAAAGGTACCTTCTGTTTTCCTATTATACCCTGTATGTGTAAAAATATGAGTGCCATACCTTTCTCTTGTGCATAATTTTAGAAAAATTTTAAATTCAAACTTAAAAGCCCTTGACTTATAATAATAATCCAGCAATAGAGGAATACTCAAGCAAGAAAATAAAATGTTAAGACAAAAAGGCATTCTGTTTATAACACTTCTTCTGCCTTACTGAGCTTATGCTCAGAATATAAATCATTACTATGCTGTCATCCAGGACTCTATACATGAATACGATTTCTGTTAAAACACACACACATGTACTTATAGCTCTAACTACAGTGGTGAGGAACAGTGAAATAAAGAGACTTTCTATTTATTTTGTAAAAACATTAATTCTACAAGGTGTTTAGTTTGCAACCAAAATCAAACTGAAAACCTGGCAGAGAAAACTGGATCTATGGACACTGGATGCTTGTGGCACAAGCTGAAGCACTGACCTTGTGGGCTTGCATAAGCATGTGGATGACACCTGGAGCACCGTGGCACCAGTGGACCAATCGATCTGTTTCACTGCTTAATGAAGATGGATAATTCCCAGATTGGAATCTTTTGTGGTGCCCATAATCAATACTAGGTTTCACCATTTCTGTCAAGGTTTCTTGGTCCACTTTTGCTGATGGCTTTGAACAAACAAACAAACAAACAAAAAAAAAACATTAATTTTTCCTTAAGTTTCCTTTTTAAAAAATCTGTTTTATGGCTGATATAAGAAGGCATCAATTACCAGGAATACCGAGAAGTATATAAAATTGTAATTAATTCAATTAACTGGTTATTTAAGACTTGGGCAGACCTTTTTTTGTGTCTTTCTGATGTCACTGACAAGAAGGCCATCTTCTGGAAAATTCCCTCTTGCGTGGGGGAGGCCTTCAACTGATTAGATGGGTCCCCTATGTTATGGTGAGAAAACTGCTTTACTACAAGTTCACACATGTAAGTGTAAATCTCACCCAAAATGCTCTCACAGAAACATCCAGAATAATGTTTGACCAATATCTAGGTACCATTGGCCCAGCCAATTTAACATGTAAGATTAACCATCACAGATAGCTGGCATTTTCACTGGGGACTTTCAAATACATGTATCTATGAATCTTTAATCTGAGCTGTTTCCCCCCAAAAAAGAGACTTTAACTCCCTTCCTGAGGTGAAAGTGGTCTTGTCAAATAGGGTGAAGAAGGTGTGCATGAGTGGCTATGACAGCAGGAAGTCTCACCACTCACCATGTGGACATTCTTCAAACCCCCCGTTTTCAGTTGTATGCTTAACTTCAACTCCCTCCACACCTGGCTTTCTTGAGTTGAAAGAGCTGGTTCAGTACCTGTAGACCATTTCCTCCATAGCAGGAGCTGGGTGGGGGGCAGCCACCTCAGTGTGCAGGGTGACCTTACCAACAGGCCTAATGCTCCATATACAGATTTCCTGCTGCCCAGCCCCCACCCTCCCACTGCCCAGCCCTCATCCTCCATATACCAGACCTGACGTCTGGCACTGCCTCCAACAGTACATGGCACTTAAGATTCCTGAGGGCAAGGGGCCTGCAGGGCAAACTGCTTGCTCCTTGCTGGTACCCTCTCTTCAGGCACCTCCTGGAGTGTGGCCTTCCTCTACCCCACCAGGGCGTCTGCCATTCTTTCATCTATTTTCTCAGTCTACATATTTGTAGTTTGGGGAGCCAGATGTCTCCTAGTTTCATCAAAGAAGCTGGGTTTCTATTTTTTGTTTTCCTTGTTATTTTGAGATGATTTTGAAGACAATTAAGTGTAAATCTCACCCAAAATGCTCTCACAGAAACATCAGAATAATGTTTGACCAATATCATTCTGTATCATGAAAGTTTATCTGTTTAAGTGCTATTTTAGAAGTTTTGTGTCTATTGCTCCACTAGCCTTCCAAATGGAAGTGTACACAGGACCTACGGTGGTGCACTGCCGGCTGACTGCTGCATGGCTGGGTGCCGCTCTGCCTAGCCGGTACTCCCGCTGAACAGGGAATTGGCATGCAGTCTGCTTATGAGCTCGCTCTAGCATGCTACTGCTCACTGACTGCTATAAGAAGCCCAATATCAATTTCTAAATATAATGCTTACTAAACGGTATTTCCATGTTCTTCACTTTATAAGCAGATGAGGGGACAATTTTACGATTTGTGTTTCTCTCAAGGAAACCCCTTGTATCCAACAAAATCAACCTGACACTGAAATCTAAGTTAAGCTGTTTTTCTGGGGCATGGTTCTCATAGGATTCTGTTGCCCCTAAGAGTATTATCATTAAAAAAAAAAGTTTCAAAAGCTGCTGCTAAAACATTTTTCTGGCAAAAGAGAGAATATACACAATCTGCCAGAATAACATGCCATTTTTAAGTGAGATATGGAATTTTGGTTATTTTGAAAACATGTCTGCACTGTAAGGAAAATTCACAAATTAGAATATATACATATTTTACCTTCTACAATGATTCACAAAAACAACTCATAACCAGAAAAAAGTGGTTTTAGTCCTGTGTAGATATGAATTTTTTCATATCTACACAATTTTCCTTTAGTGAGTAGCAGCATGATGCAATAAGTTTTCTTTTAAAAAAAGAAATTTGAAGTAAAATTTTAAAAAGGGAATATATAGGCTTTTAGTCAAAAAAGATCTAAAGTCTAATCCATGTTCCTTAATAACTTTGTGATTTTTGAGCAAGCCTTAATGGAAAAAAAAAATTGGGCCACATACAGAGCAAGGAAGGGAAGGAATCACAGGCCATTTGGCTGGCTGCAGGCTGAAGTGGTCTTTGGGTGGGGGTCTCTGACTGCCTGACAGAAGAGCCAGTACTTAATTCAGTAGATGTCAGGGATGACTGACAGACAAGATCATAACCTCTACAATAAACTACTTAAAAATCAAGAACACAACTGAGAGTGACTGGGGGTATCTGACAATGAAAAGTCTCCAGAGATTCAGAGAAAGACTCTGGAAGCCCCTTGAAGGCTTTCACTGTTACAAGGGTGACTGTGTCAATCAGCAGCGGGACACACACAGAAGAGGCTTGTGGCCAGTAGACACCTCGCCTGTACAAAACTGCATATGGAATGTGCTCTCGGGTTCACAGCTTGGGGCTCATGATGCAGAGCTTAAACATTGTGATTCGAAGTAGTATCCTTATTTCATATCAGCCTGTGTGGTTTGTACTAAAATTTAAGTTCACATTCCCTCTTTGATCTAATATTTTATAATGCAGTCACTGATATTAGTATTTCTGAGAATTGTAACTTACCTGCAGTAGCATGTAGTAGATCCCAGTCATGCCGTGAGCAGCACCATCATACTGCTTCCTGTGCCACTGGTATAACAGGGGACAGCGCTCAGCCTTCCTTTCTTCCCTTGACAAGGCTTTGCCTGATTCAATAACAGCATTGACAACCTACAAAGATAAAGAGGCAGCAGCCTAAGTCTAAACACCTTACATGTATCCTGTTCTACTTTAATTAACACTAACAACCTGTCTTTAGACAGAATCTAATCTAAAATCTTTAAGCAGTTAGTAGCCAACATTTATTTATTTTATAAATTAATAAATACAGAGAAAAACTGGAAGATAATTTCAGAGTAAAAAGACATTAACAAGTCAAAGAAATCAAAAGTTCTTTGTATCAACAGTTTGCTAGAACCTAGGATAACTTTCTATAGCAACTGCTCTAAACTTAGTTGTTTTGTAGCTGTAAATATTTCCCCCTAAAGACTGCAACGTACATCTTCCAGGAAAGGCTGGAGGAATTAGTTTTCTTTATGAAAGGCTAATAAAATGAGATGTGTCACTGTAGTCTGCAGGTGTTAGATCAAAAGAATACCATATCTGAAATGACAATGTGGCAAAGACTAACTTTTTCTTCATATCCTTCCTCCGCCTCATACTGTTGGTAACAGTGCTCCAAGTTTTAGCTATGCGTCTGGCCTCTGAGCTATATACAGCTGAACACTTGACTAAGTTCTGGAAGTGGGATGTGAGCAAAGTGAGGTTGGCAACTTCTAGCTCATGGCCTTAAAAAGAAAGCTCCTCAACCTTCACTTCCTCACCTGTCCCCTGGGCCGGGGGTGCTCAGTAGCTTCGGTCATGCAGGTAAGGGCATGCCCCTAGGACATGGCAGACACGACAGAAGAGCCATATTCACCTGGGCTCCTACTGCTCCAAACGACTCATGAAAGAGAAATAAACATTCTATCTTTTCAAAGCTGCTGTTGTTTGCTTCTAGTAAAAACAGCTGAATACAGGCCTAAGAGGAGTACAGATTTTTAAGACACATTCTTAGAAAGGAAAAAAAAGAAGCTATTTATTAATTTTACAAGATGCCTTAAGAAATTACTTCACCTACAAGCACAGTCCAGCCACTATAGTCACTCTGTGCTAACAGATAGGTTCAAATGGCAGTGACAGGGATGACTGTAGCTGTCAGTAATCCCACATACCTCTTTAACAGCAGACTCACACACGGTGCCTGGACCGATCTCTGTATTCAGGTAGAGTAAGGCATACAGGTACCTCAGTAATCCCACATACCTCTTTAACAGCAGACTCACACACGGTGCCTGGACCGATCTCTGTATTCAGGTAGAGTAAGGCATACAGGTACCCTGCCCGTCCATAGAGCAGCTCATCGGGAAGCTCTGAGTCTTGGCAGACAATGGTTCTCTGGAGCTGCAAAAGTCTACCAGACAAGAAAAATGCTGTTTTCCAGACAATGTCTAAAATACCTCTTCTTGAAACTCTAAGTAAACCTATCACTTTAGGAACTACCTGTCATTTAGTTTTAGTTTAAGACTGATTTTTAAAAAATATACAGAAAACCCCAGAAAACAACAAAAACTTCTCCACTTTACTATTTTATTCTCAGATACCAAAATTAAAACCAAAATTTCTACCTTTATATCTACTCTAAACTATGTAAGAGAAGAAACTCAATTTTGATATCCAGAATTAGAAGAAAGTTGATTTAAAATATAAATGAAAATAGTACTAACATTTTCAGTAGCCAAAACTTGGGAATTAGATCTAGTCATTCTGTCTTTCAACAAACATTGACTAGCATGTGCCAGAATGTGGATTGAGTCCTGATTTCTGCATTTTCCTTGAAAATAAACCAATAGGTACAATAAAAGTTTACACACTCTAACTGTTCCATAATAAGGGGCCCTAAGATTAACTTAGTTGTAATAGTGAATCTCAGGCATTTAGCTAATTTTCATGCATTTTGAAGCAATCAAGAATCACAGGAAAAATGATTAAAGTAAGGCAAAGAAATATGTTTATTCTCCCCAAAATTAGGGCAACTATATGCTTGGATAGAAAGAAAGGACACAACCCCACCATTATGTTCAGAAGTAATATATAACCCTCTTCAATTCTTGGAAAAACCTGTTTGAAACAGTAGATAAATTAAGAAATAATTTCCTTTTTGAATGTATTTCTATAGCAAGACCTACAACTGAGAATTTGGTGAAAAATACTTCCAGTTCTCAAAACTCACTTTGAGATGCATTCCTGGGATTCACAATCACTTTTGAGTTTATGATATACCACAGCTCCTACAGCAAGGGGCCCAGCATCTCCACAGAGGAAAGTGACCTTGCGGCCATTCAGATTCCGAAGGGTCCTCTTTACGTAATCCAGGGATCGGAGCAGGTAGGTCTGGTCACACGTGACTCGGTACAACTGCAGGTACAAAAGGGCTATGCCTGAAATAATTCCTCCACCCCAAAAGAAAAGCATTATTACCTTTCCTTTTTACCTTCAGGACATTATTTTATGATGCATGAAAAACTTGAATAAAGCCTGTTTGTGAAGGGGCAACATCAAACACTCTCATATAACATATTTCTTAAAAATGGGGGAAGATAAAAGAACTTAGGGTAGAAAAAAATTTTAAATAACTTTAAATGTATTAGTTTGCTATTGTTCTGACATAGTGAATCAATAGCTCCCCAACAAAGGGAGACGTGAGACTTCCCATTCATTTCCATCTAATTTTCATTCATTTCCCGTATCTGAAGCTAATTTGGATCCTTTTCTTTTTATTTCTGATGTAATTATTTTCTCCTATGTTATCCCAAATTAAATTACTTTCTGAATTTTATATCCTCTCTTTCCAAGTTTTCTATTTCTCACAAGTTTTCAGTTTTCTTTAATGACCAAACCATCCAAATGACCAACTAACCAGTGGATCATTCCATTTTTTCAGCTTTTTGACAAACCTCCACACTTTTCCATAATGACTGTACTAATTTACATTCCCACCAACAGTGTACTAGGATTAACTTTACTCCAGGTCCATGCTAACACTGTTATATACTGTCTTTTTGATAAAAGTCATCCTAACAAGTGTGAAGTGGTATCTCATTGGGGTCTTGATTTCCTTGATGATTACATGTTGAACACTTTCTTATATATGTGTTAGTCATTTGTATGTCTTCTTTGGAAAAATGTTCACTCAAGTCTTTTGCCCATTTTTTAACTGTATTTTTTTTCTTTGCTACTGCATTGTGTGAGTTCCTTATATATTTTGGTTCTACCCCCTTAGCAGAATATAGTTTGCAAATATTTTCTCCCATCTTGTAAATTGCCTTTTCATTTTGTTGACTGTTTCCCTTGCAGTGTTGTAGCCTCTTGGTTTGATGTCATCCTAGTTGGTTACTTTTTGTTTTTTATTGCTGTATTTTTGGTGTCATATCCAAAAAATCATTGCCAAATGCATTTTCCCTGTTTTCTTCTAGGAGTTTTATGCTTCAGGTCTTACATTTAATCCACTTTGATTAAAAGTGGATTAAAAGTCTTTAATCCACTTTGAGTTAACTTTTGGAAGTATAAGATAAAGTCCTGTTTCATTCTTTTGCATGTGGCTAGATGCTTCCAACTTTGTTCTTTCTCAAGATTGCATGGGCTTCCCTGAGTCTTTTGTACTTCCCATATGATTTTAGGATTGTTTTCTTCAATTTCTATGAAAGATACAATTAGAATTTTGATAGAGACTGTATTAAACACATAGATCACTTTGGATACTATCAATGTTTTAACAACATAAATCCTTCCAATCCATGAATATTTTCCCATTTATTTGTGTTTTTCCTCTATTTCTTTATTCAATGTCTTATAATTTATGCTGTACAGGTCTTTTACCTTCTTGGTTAAATTTATTCCAAACGTATTTTTTTATGTTATTGTAAATGGAAATGTTTTCTTAATTTTTTTCTCCAAAAGGTAGTCGTTAGTGTGTAAACACAATTAATCTTTGTAGATTCATTTTGTATTCTGCAACTTTACTGAACTTATCAGTTCTAACAACTTTTTGGTGGAGTCTTCAGGGTTTTCTATATATAAGACCATGCCATCTAGAAAGAGAGACAATTTAACTTCTTTCTCATTTGGATGCCTTTATTTCTTTTTCCTGCCTAATTGCTCTGGCTAGGACTTCCAGTAGTATGTTGAATATAAGTGGTGAGAAGGGGCATCATTACCTTGTTTCTTTTTTTTTTATGAGAGGGCATCTCTCATATTTATTGATCAAATGGTTGTTAACAACAACAAAACTCTGTATAGGGGACCCAATGCACAATCACCAATCAACCCCAAGCCCCACTCTCAACAGTCTCCAATCTTCCAAAGCACAATGAACAAGCTCCCACATGGTGAACAAATTCCTACATAGCGAACAAGTTCCTACACACATTACCTTGTTTCTTATCTTAAATGCCAAGTATGATGTTAGCTGTGTATGAATATCACTGAGTATGATGACAGTATGATGGGTTTATCATTTATTGTCTTTTTTTGGTATCATTAATGCACAATTACATGGGCAACATTATGGTTACTAGACTCCCCCTATTAGCAAGTCCCCACCACATACCCCATTAGAGTCACTGTCCAATACCATAATAAGATGCTATAGAATCACTGTTTGTGTTTTCTTTATTATACTTACTGTCTTCCCCATATCCTGACCTCTTACATTATGTGTGCTAATCGTAATGTTCATTTTTCCACCTTATCCCTCCCTTCCAACCCATCCTCCCCAGTCCCTCTCCCTTTGGTAATTGTTAGTCCATTCTTGGGTTCTGTGAGTCTGCTGCTGTTTTGTTCCTTCAGTTTTTTCTTTGTTGTTATACTCCACAGATGAGTGAAATCATTTCATACTTGTCTTTCTCTGCCTGGCTAATTTCACTGAACATAATACCCTGTTGGCCCACCAGTGTTGTTGCAAATGGTAGGATTTGTTTTATTCTTATGGCTGAATATTATTCCATTGTGTATACATACCACATCTTCTTCATCCATTCATCTACTGATAGACACTTAGGTTGCTTCCATTTCTTGGCTATTGTAAGTAATGCAGCGATAAACATAGGGGTGCATATGTTTTCTCAAACTGGGCACCAACATTCTTAGGGTGAATTCCTAAGAGTGGAATTCCTGGGTCAAATGGTATTTCTATTTTTAGTTTCTTGAGGAACCTGAATACTGCTTTCCACAATGCTTGAACTAATTTACATTCAAACTAGCAGTGTAGGAGGGTTCCCCTTTCTCCACATCCTCGCCAATATTTATTGTCCTTTGTCTTTTGGATGGTGGTCATCCTAACTGGTGTGAGGTGATATCTCATTGTGGTTTTAATTTGCATTTCTCTGATGATAAGCGATGTGGAGCATCTTTTCATGTGCCTGTTGGCCATCTGAATTTCTTTTTTGCAGAAGTGTCTGTTTAGCTCCTCTGCCCATTTTTTAATTGGCTTATTTGCTTTTTGCTTGCTGAGTTGTGTGAGCTCTTTGTATATTTTGGATGTCAACCCCTTACTGGATATGTCATTTATGAATATATTCTCCCATACTGTAGGATTTCTTTTTGTTCTACTGTTGGTGTTCTTTGCTGTACAGAAGCTCTTTAGTTTGATACAGTCCCACTTGTTCATTTTTTGCTTTTGTTTCCCTTGCCCGGGGAAATATGTTCATGAAGAAGTTGCTCATGTTTATGTCCAAGAGATTTTTGCCTATGTTTTTTTCTAAGAGTTTTATGGTTTCATGACTTACATTCAGGTCTTTGATCCATTTTGAGTTTACTTTTATGTATGGGGTTAGACAATAATCCAGTTTCATTCTCTTACATGTAGCTGTCCAATTATGACAACACCAGCTGTTGAAGAGGTGGTCATTTCCCCATCGTATATCCATGGCTCCTTTATCATATATTAATTGACCATATATCCTTGGGTTTATATCTGGGCTCTCTAGTCTTTTCCATTGGTCTATGGATCTGTTCTTGTGCCAGTACCAAATTGTCTTGATTACTGTGGCTTTGTATTACAGCTTAACGTTGGGAAGTATAATCACCCCAGCTTTATTCTGCCTTCTTGGGATTGCTTTGGCTATTTGGGATCTTTTCAGGTTCCAGACGAATTTTAGAACGATTTTCTCTAGTTCATTGAAAAATGCTGTTGGTATTTTGATAGGGATTGCATTGAATCTGTAGATCGCATTAGGCAGGATGGCCATTTTGACAATATTAATTCTTCCTACCATGAGCACAGGATGAGTTTCCATTTATTGGTATCTTCTTTAATTTCTCTCATGAGTGTCTTGTAGTTTTCAAAGTATGGGTCTTTCACTTTCTTGGTTAAGTTTCATCCTAGGTATTTTATTCTTTTTGATGCAATTGTGTATGGAATTGCTTTCCTGATTTCTCTTTCTGCTGGTTCATCGTTAGTGTATAGGAATGCAACAGATTACTGTGTATTAATTTTGTATCCCACAACTTTGCTGAATTCAGATATTAGATCTAGTAGTTTTGGAGTGGATTCTTTCGGGTTTTTTATGTACAATATCATGTCATTTGCAACCAGGGACAATTTGACATCTTCCTTGCCAATCTGGATGTCTTTTGTTTCTTTGTGTTGTCTAATTGCCATGGCTAGGACCTCCAGAACTGTGATGAATATAAGTGGGGACTGTGGGCATCCTTGTCTTGTTGTCAATCTTAAAGGAAAACCTTTCAGCTTCTTGCCATTAAGTATGATGTTAGTTGTGGGTTTCTCATATATGGCCCTTATTATGTTGAGGTACTTGCCCTCTCTACCCATTTTGTTGGGACTTTTTTTTATCATGAATGGATGTTGGGTTTTGTCAAATGCTTTTTCAGCATCTATGGAGATGATTATGTGGTTTTTGTCCTTTTTGTCAATATGGTGGATGATGTTGATGTATTTTCAAATGTTGTACCATCCTTGCAGTCTTGTGATGAATCCCCTTTGATCATGATGGATGATTCTGTTGATGTATTTTTGAATTCGGTTTGCTAGTATTTTGTTGAGTATTTTTGCATCTATGTTCATCAAGGATATTGTTCTGTACTTTTCTTTTTTGTGGTGTCTTTGCCTGGTTTTGGTATTAGAGTGATTTTGGCATAGAAGAGTGAGTTTAGAAGTATTCCCTCCTCTTCCACTTTTTGGAAAACTTTAAGGAGGATGGGTATTAGGTCTTCACTAAATGTTTGATAAAATTCAGCGGTGAAGCCATGTGGTCCAGTGGTTTTGTTCTTAGGTAGTTTTTTTATTACCAATTCAATTTCCTTGCTGGTAATTGGTCTACTCAGATTTTCTGTTTCTTCCTGGGTCATCCTTGGAAGGCTGTATTTTTCTAGAAAGTTGTCCATTTCTTCTAGGTTATGCAATTTGATAGCATATAATTTT